GTTCATTGATTTATAATAGAAACCCTCACCTACTTCCAAAATATGCTTCAGGAGAAACAACCAAGAGATTTATGCTGGCACTTTCAGCTCCTACCCTCTGTTTTTAAAGTGGGGCTGAGTTCCTTGTTCAAAGTGACTCTGAGTGACCCTTCCTCCATGGCTTTAGCTCTCGCTGGGTTCTGGTCACAAGCCTGCAGGTAGTAACGGCTTCCCACTCTTGATAGTTTCTGGGTGCTTCAGCATGCCTTGCTGTCTCTCTTAACCCTGCCCACACCCTAGGAAGAAGGCTTTTTGTTAGCGTTTCCTCACTGAATTCTGTTTCTTACTGGGATTCTTTCCAACATGTTGGAAAACCTATATGGTTGTAACACTTACTTAAAACAATCTCTGGGAACGCCTGGGTGGCTCAGTCATTAAGTGTCTGCCTTCAGCTCAGGTCATGATCCCAGGGTCCTAGGATCGAGCCCCACATTGGGCTCCCTGCTCAGCAGGAATCCTGCTTCCTCTGCTGCTTCCCCTGCTTGTGTTCCCTCTCTTGCTATGTCTCTGTCAAATAAATAAATAAAATCTTTAAAAAAAAAAATCTCTGTTCTTGGGCCAAGTGTCATCTGTTTATAAAAGGAGCTAGCCCTGATGTGGTGCTTTGCACGTCTGTCCAGTGTGATGTTTGTTCAAGCTTCCATTCATGAAGTGTGCCTGGGGAAGTAGGCATCATCAGTCCCATCTTACAGAAAAGGAAATGGACTCACTGGAGTTTAGGAATGTGTTCGAGCTCCATGACTAATTGGGGTTACACTGGTTAAGATCTCAGCTCTCCAGCAGGCTCTTCTAGCCCAGATGGTTCTGACCCACCAGCAGCCAAAGGGAAAATGGAGGCTTTGCTTTGTTATTTACTCTTCATCAGTTTCTAAAGACTTGAGAGAAATGTTTCTGCTGAAGGGCCACCCTTAGCACAACCTCCAACTTCAAAACAACAGATCTCCTTTCAAGACCATGTGTGATCTTCTTCCCCTTCATTTCCACATAAGAGTCCCTGCTGCTTTTACAAATCTTCAACCTTTTACATTAGGCTCTGTTTCAAAGATCTTTCAGAGATCCTGACTGAGAATGGCCGTGCTGGGTTTAGCAAAGGAAAAGAGCTCTCATTTAATCATTTCAAGTATGTTTCTCTCTTTCTCTGTCTTACTCTCTACCTGTTTCCCTGTTTCTGTGTGTCCCTCTCTTTTTCCTCCCTCTATTCATGACTTTCTTTCGTAAGAGGCCTTATAGGACAGGCTGACAGTCCTTTGTATGCTGGGCACCTAGATACTAACAGTGGGAAATTGTTGCCACCTCTAGGCCTGTGACCAGAGCCCATTACAACTGTAATCATGGAGCCATGGTGGCTCAGCCCCTGCCAGAACAGTGGCACTGAAGTAGGGAGGAACAGGGAAGAAAGACCTCAGTCTTTGTTTCTGCTCTCACCTTCTGGTCTCCCACTGGTGCTTCCCAATGGCCAAGACCAACTGTGGGCTAGAGGCAAGGAAGCCTGGGTGATGCCACATACAGAGGTAGCTTTTGGGCAAACAGCAAAGTAGAGACAGGCAGACAGTGGATGGAAGCAGTGGAAGGGGGCAACTGGTGGGGAACAATAGAAGATAGCCAACATAGTGATGATTCTACCTACCAACAACAGCAAGACTTGTTAGTGGGATGAGTGAAAGACACTTTAGTTCATTACTTCAGCCCTCTCCCCACACCCCTTTCCAAACTAGTGTCAAAGCATTTCTTGATGAGTTTTGGGAGTCCAGTGAGTGAGTGTGTCACTCTTTGAAAATTTCTGTTCTCTCCACTCTCTCTGTCCCTTTGCCTTGTGTTCTGTTAGGAGGAGCCATTGAAGTCATGTTGGGAGTTGTGTCTTTTTCTTCCTCCTGCATTCTTCTCCTTTACTGACCGCTAAAGAGGAAGACCAATTTTTATCGATAGACCCCCCAGACTTGCCACGGTAGAGGTCTACCCAAATGGCAACAACGGATGTGGCAGGCTTGCTTCCAGCCTTCACCTGATACAGGAGATTGTCTTATCATCAAGCTGATGAAGGTTAATTATCGGCACCCCCGTCCCACTCACATAGACCCTTGTAAGGGCCCAGAAATTTCACATCCATAATGTTGTATTATTTTCCTTAAAGAAGGCCCTCACAGTTGTACAAATTTCAGGGCCAGAAAACCTGGGCCTGTCCATTCCTCTCTATATTTGTCCCTGAAGGTAACCTTTTCTCCCCATGACTGGGCTGGCAGTGTCTGCAGAAGCCAAAGCAGCACTAATTAATACACGATAGCTCTATCGGCAGAGACTCCGGCATATGGTCCAGTCAATGGCCCAAACAAAGGAGCATTTGCAGGTGTCATCACATTCTAATAAAGCTGTGGCAGTGAAACATGGTCGGTGACACGAATGACAAAGGCAGGCTGCTGAGGACTGGCCAGTCACAGATGAAGCTCTGAGGCTCTGCAGTTTAATAAACCTTATGCATAACACCAGGGGGGCAGCCCCCCTCATCGGCTGGCTTGCCCTCTTGCACACCTGCTTTCTGGGGAGGCATAGTGAGGAGAGCAGGCCTGCTGTGCTAACCTTTCCGGAACAGTACCTGATCCAGGCTGCGGGGAAGTAAGCAGGGCCTCAGCACCTGTGTGTGTGTGTGTGTGTGTGGATGCCGGCCCTGGGACATGGGGCCCTAGGTTAGGTCACAGAAATGGAACAGTGGCTAACGCTGCCCAGCCCAGGGCTCAGTCCTGGCCAGTCAGGCCATAAAGTGCCTAGAATCCCTTGTGCCACTGGCTTCAAGAAGGACTGGGTTTAAGAGGCAGATGCCTTAATAATGCTGACCCTTCCCTCCTCAGGAAAACCAGCCAAAGAGGCACTCCAGGTTGAAAAGCTACTAGGCAGCAGCACTGGTAATGAAAAAAAAAATGAACATTTTCTTTATATTGATCTATCATTTTAGTATCTACCAGAGCCTTATTTAGGGACAGAAGGGGAAGACAAGAGCCGGAAGAAGGAGAAAAGAAGGATGCAAGAATGTGACACTCACAAGAGGGATTAAGAACAAAGGCTCTGGAGGGTTTGATCCCAGCCACATTACCAGCTCTAGCACCTTGCTTGAGAACCTTAACCTCTCTGGGCCTTAGTTTTCCAATTTTGTAGAATAGTAAAAATAGTGCCTCCTCCCTACTCCCTGTCAGGATTAAAAGAGTTAACACACATAAAACCCTGTGAGGGTTCCTAGCCCAGAGGACAGAGCTCAGTAAGTATTAATAAAATGTCTTCTGTCCTCACATAACATCCCAGGCTTGGAGCACCAGCTTAGTTGGAGAAAGCGTGGGCTTTGGGTAGAGAGGACTAGGGCTCTGAGCTTCCCAGCCACAGGGTGCTGGCCTCCTCACTTACCCCTCAGCATCTTCCATCTGTGAAGTCAGAATCCCAGTAACCTCTGTCTCACCAAGTTCATTCTAAGCAGCAGATGAAGCAGGAATTATGCCTGAGCTTTCCTTCTCCGTGATGAACAGTGGAACATTGGTATTATTTGGAAGTCATACAATTATTCAGACACTTGGACTTCGCCTGCCTCCCCGGCTCACACATGAACCTCCTCCAGGACCCTTCCTCTATCCTGCGATTAGAGCTGTGGTAGTGGATGGTCAGGTTCTCCGAGAACAACCAGTCCTAGCTCCGCCAGCTCCTGGGACCCTGAAGGGCTCCATCGTGGAGTGAACTCATTGCAGAACCGCCGCTCCTCCCCTGGGATGGGGTGCGGTGGGCCCGCCTGGAGGCCCTGCATCATGAGGGGCTCAAAGTGGCACGCGGAGTCCACCAGCTGTCTTGCTGGCTGGGCCTGGAGGGGTTCAGGGAGCAGGTCTGTGTGCTGGGCCTCAAGGACGAGGAAGACCCACCCTGGCACGTGCTCTGCCTGCCCCTTTCCAGCTGGCAGCTCTGCTTAATGAACTGCGCTCAGAGCCACGAGGAAAGGGGCTTTTTGATGGGCAGAGTTATTAGTGCTCCGTTTTAATTATGCCTCCTGGTGTTTTCTCCGCTGCGTTCCTCTCACTTTCCCTGACAGTGCAGCTAGCGTCACCCGGATACTGCCTGTGACAAGCCCACTGCACTCCTGTAGGTGGGGACAAGTGCAGGCCGACTGGAAACCAAAGGTCATGAGCCTTCTCTTCCTTGGGTCAACTGAGTGGGCCCTTCTGGCCTTGACTTGTGGGGCACAGGAGTCCCTCATGTCAGACTGGCTGACCTTTGGGCAGGAGCTGATTTCTAACCTCTGGTGCAGACAGCCCAATCGGGGAAAGGGAAAGAACAACTTGTCAGGGGCTCCTTCAGGTCCTGTCAACAAGGTGGTAAGAGTGTGGAGAGAAGAGATGCACCCAACCCTTCCCAGTAGCTCTGGACACATGGGGCCTGGGCCTAGAGAGGAAGTGTGAGGCGAGAGGAAGGGAGGGGACGGTCTTCTCCTGTAGAAACCGCTCCTGCCTGTCTCCGGTCCAGCACGGGGAGAACTGCTCTCAGAGAATGAGGAGGGATCTCTCAAAAGTAAGAGATTATCAAGGGAGGTTCTGTAGGTGGCGAACTCTCTTGACATTGGTCTGGAAAATGTTTTCCTGTATTCTCAAAAGACACTTTCACAGTGTATACCATTTTTGATTCTCAGCCTTTTGGGTCTGGGATCCCTCTACTTCCAGCTTCCATGTTGCTATGGAGGAGGCTCATGGCTGTCAGTTGCCGTTCCTGTGATCTAAGTTTCCTTTCTGCCTGCTTTTAAGATCTGTTCTTTGACTTCGGTATGAAAGCTGTTTTACTACAGTGTGTCAGAGTGTGGATTTTTTTTTTTTCTTTATTAGCCTGCTTGGGTTTTACTGTGTTTCCATCTCTGGAAAGTCCTCAGCCTTCACTCTTCCAATATTGGCTCTTCCCATTTTATAGGCACTCTGCTTGGATCTGTGGTTGACCTTCTCTCTCCTCCATGCTTCCATCTCTCAGGCTGTTATCTGTGGGAATCACAGGAGACTGGGGCTGAAGTATGCTCCCCCAGAAAGAATTTACATTTGCTTCTGCCATCTGCCAGGGATGCTTTCAACATTGGGCTGCTCTGAACTAAATTCCCAATAACTAATCTCAGTACTTTTTGGTCTATAAAGATAGTGTGAATTCCAGCTCCAAACCTGTTTGGAAATGGGGAAAATGGGATATTTATTTGGGAGAGATTGTTCTTCCTAGGGCCAAGACAACTTCAGACAAGTTTCCTTGTTTGTGTCCTTGGGAAGAGCAATAACCCACTCCACCCCACACCTCCCCTTTTATTCTTCTGCTGAGGGTGTAGTATGTGGGGAATCCCTGTCATTCCAACTCCCTGCATCCCCAGCATGGTGACAAAGCCCAAGACACTGGAATGGATGACAGGGGCCAAGGAAACCTTGAGGGCAGTTGCTACCTCCTTGGCCACTTTGTTTTTACATACTGGGTCTTTATCCACTACCCCAAGGGTTCTGAATTTTTTTAAATTGTTATTCAATATTTTAAATTGTTGTGCTTGCTTGCTTATTATTTTGGAATGGAAAGGTTGTCAGGATTTCTAGTCCATTATATTTCCAGAAATGAAAGTTTTCGTCACCACATACATCCCCTCTGTGAAGAACTTGCCGGCTTCTGACTCTCTTGATCTTCCTTTTATAGGCTCTTCACTGTTGGCGGGGACCCATCCTCACCACAACAGGAGGCACAAACTGCAATCTGCTATCACGTGGAAAGAAAGTATGATGTTAAAAGGTCTGTTTGTTTGGGATGCCTGGGTGGCTCAGTTGGTTAAGCGGCTGCCTTCAGCTCAGGTCATGATCCCAGCGTCCTGGGATGGAATCCCATATTGGGCTCCTTGCTCAGCAGGGAGTCTGCTTCTCCCTCTGCCTCTGCCTGCCACTCTTAGTCTGCCTGTGCTCACTCTCTCTGACAAATAAATAAATAAAATCTTTAAAAAAAAAAAGTCTGTATGTTTATCTCATATATTGCTTAGTTTCTATTTTTTGTATGTATTTTATCACATGTATATTATATTAGTATAGTAATGCATGCTTGCAATCTATTAATAAACAAATATACATCTTTTACCTGATGGGGTTGGATAGTCATGAGAGTTGAGACACTCTACTATCTTTTGAAGCCACTGGGAGCCATGATCTATGTACTTAATGATTTTCATGGCTGGGAGAGAAAACATTCATTCAGAACTTTGCACACACCGAGCTCTACTTCTTTTGTCCAAAATCAGAAGGTCTGGCATGGGTTATGACAACACACCTTGTGTCAGTTGAGAGAGGGAATGTGCCTGCTAGACCCAAGGCTGGCACACTGTGGTTGACCCTTGGATAGCCTGATTCTCTGAAACTCATTTCTGCTCCTCTGCTGTACCCTGTAGTTTCTCATCTTAACAGTTCTCTCTACTATATATGTTCTTCCACACCTTTTGACTCAAAGTAGAATTGACATGACATATACATATATCTCAGCACCCCCAAAGGCAGTTGACAGCTCCCGGTCCCACTCAGAGCTCTCACGGGTTCTCCTCCTCGTACCTTACCTGGGGCTCTTTGCTCTGAGTTTCCACTGCTTCTCCAGCTCTCCTTGATGCATTTCCTCAGCCTGTCCTTCTTTACTCTCTGTCTGGGGTGTGTTTTCAGGGTTCTGAAAACACAGTTCACCCTGGCAGGGGACACAAGACATCAGAGTTCCAGGAAACCACTTAGCTAAGTGACCACTGCCAAGGGTGTCTACCAACAGGAGTTAGAGAGTCAAAACTTTCTTCTCCATTTTGAAACTCCAGTCTTTTTTTTTTTTTAAGATTTTACTTATTTATTTGACAGAGAGAGACACAGTGAGAGAGGGAACACAAGCAGAGAGAGTGGGAGAGAGAGAAGCAGGCTTCCCACTGAGCAGGGAGCCCAAAGCCAGACTCTGTCCCAGGACCCCGGGATCGTGACCTGAGCCAAAGGCAAACACTTAACTGACTGAGCCACCCCGGCACCCCACTGAGTTCTAGTCTTGAAGTACTTTCCTGATGGTGATTCCAGGACCGTTGATTCACAATATGACCCCAAATGGATCATATTGCCAGAAAATGCTCAGTCTGGAGCTATTTACAGCTTACAGGCTTAGAAGATAGTAAACAGAAGGCTTAGACAACAAATATTATAAAATGTGTGTGTGTGTGTGTGTGTGTGTGTGTGTATGTGTATAAATTGGTCTAATGCACAGATTTCATGAAGTCCTAAGAAATGTTTTTATTTTTTATTTTTTAAAAATACTGTTTTTTTTTAAAGATTTTATTTATTTATCTGACAGACAAAGATCACAAGTAGAGAGAGAGGCAGGCAGAGAGAGAGGAAGGGAAGCAGACTCCCCACTGAGCAGAGAGCCCAATTCGGGGCTTGATCCCAGGACCCTGGGATTATGACCTGAGCCGAAGGCAGAGGCTTTAACTCACTTCACCACCCAGGCGCCCCTAAGAAACGTTTTTAGATGCAGAATTGTAATAGTCTGGTTTATCAGTATGGAGAACCCATGACACAATGAACAAGAAATTTTGTGCTTCCAGGCTTCTGCACACTGTCTCCATCAACCCACAGACATATGAGTTGTGGGCAGGTCATAGTTGGGTCATCCCCTAAGTCAGTCAGAGCTGAATCTGGTATCCTCTTGTCCTCAGGATCCTTGAGAAGCCTGGGTCCACCAGCGTGGATGAGAACAGGCACAGAGAGCACTGGGCCCATGGTGTTACCACCTCCTGTGCGCTCAAGGGAAACAAGCTGTGCCCCCAAAGAGGCCTGTGTTTGCTGAGCCGACAGCCCTCCCCTGTTTATATTTTCTCCTTAAGGAGGATATTTTTAAAAGCCTATTTCACAGAATCAATTTTAGTGGGCCCTTTAGAATGGGAGGTGAGCTAAAGGTAGTTCAGTTTGTTTTAACAATAACTTTGGCTTATTGAAGCGAGCATTAGTGTCTCATGTCCCCATATGGCAACCATTAGAGACAGGGAAAGCTTGAGGGGCATAGTGCTCCGAGATAACTAGTAAAAGAATTGAAGACATTTTTATAGGACCTGAAGATATCACCAATAGAATAAGGATGAAACTCATTTGTAGATGATAGGTGAGAGAAATTAAAAGGTCTTCCCACTCGGGTATACAAGGTAGAGATGCTTTCAGGTGAAAGGTCTGTGGCTCATATATGTGTTAATTTAATCATTTATTACCTCATGCAAATCAGCCAATCAACATGGATTGAGTGCCTACCATGTTCCTAGATGAGGTGGGTTCTGGGAATACGGGGATGAACAAGACACAGTCCCTGCTTCAAGGACTTGCGTACAGATGATAGACCAGGAAGGAGGCCACTGAGGGCAAGCAGAGGGGTAAGTGCTAGAAAAGGCAGGGGGTGAGGTGCCCATGCATGTGGGGGATACAGGGGTGCTTCTACCTGACCTGGGCTGTTCCAAGCAGGCAGAGCTAGAGGTACAAAAGCTGCAAAAGGGAGAAAGCAGGTTGTCCTTGAGCAGCTGTGAGTAGTTTTCGGTTCTTTCCACTGGTTTAAGGGAATGCCAAGAGATTAACCAGGATCCCCATCACAACGAGCCTTCCGTGGTTCCTGGCAATGGTAAATCATTAAAAGCTTCTAAGTAGGGGAATGAGGGGACCAAATATTCATTTTGGAAGGATGGTGTTAGTAGCAGTATGGGAATGGCTTAGGGCCGGGAAAGGTGAAGACAAGAGGCAAGTTAGGAGCCTGGAGAAGTAATCAAGTCAAAGGATTAAAAATGGCCTGAACTAAGGTAGCTGACATGGGATAGAGAGCAGCAAACAGACTGAAGATGTGTTAGGAAGGTAGAATTAACAGGACTTGAGAATGAGGTGAATGTGGGAAAAGGAAGCAGGAGAGAAGCTGCGGCTAATGCTTCTGTTACTGGGTGGGTGGGATAGTACTGGTTGCTGACATGGTGGACACAGGGGAGAGAGGAAGTCTAAGGGGGACAAGAGAGCATTACATTTTAGAGATCTCACATTTATCTCTGGCATATCCAACAGACCCTTAGACATATGTATCTGGAGTTCAGTACAGGGAATTGGCAGGACTTAAAAATTTGGGAGTCACCAGCCTATTATTGTTATCAGAGACAATGAGAATGGGATGAGATTATTCTAAGGAGAGGGTAAAGAGGAGAGGTCTGAGGAGAGAGGGAACCAAGCAGTCTGGAATAAGGATGGAATAAGGATGAGAAGCCCATGAGGCAGCTGGAGGGGCAGCGGAGAAGACAACCTAGGAAAGCATGATGCCAGAGGGAGTATGTGGGGGAGGGGCGGGGAGGAGAAGAGAAAAGAGGGGAAGAAGGGGGCCGAAGGAATAGGAAGGGGTGGGAAAAGAAGGAAGGATAGACAGCAGGGGGAAGAGAAGAAGAGGGAGGGAGAGAAGGGCAAAGGGGAGGAGGAGGACAGGAGTCCATGATTCAACAACTAGAGCATCGCTAAAGGCCTGGGTAGGAGCCGTTTCCGTGATATGACAGGAGAGCAACAGCAGAGTGAATGGGAAGTGGGACTGGAACCTGGAAGCAGGGCTAAGCTTCTCCTTCAAGACTGTACCTGTGGAGGAGATGGGCTGGTGAGTGGAAGAGGGTGATAAGACACAAGGGCCAAATGACAGGAGAGACCTGAGATGATTCCCATGCTGATGAGAGAGAGCCAATAAGGAAGAGGTTTGTGAAGTAGGAGTCGGGGATGATGATTAGAGAGGGGCCCCTGATGAGGGGGCTTGCATGGGTCCAGAGTGTCGTGGCAAGGCATGGGGAGCAGGCTTTGGGCAAGAGGGTAGACCCAGAGCCAATGAACCAACAGCCGTGGAAACCCAGGGGTCTTCTCCAGTAGGTGTCTGTGTTTCCACTTCTGGAATCAAGTTGGGGTGAGCTAAGCAGCTCCACTCATTGATCTCGGCCGGACTCACTTGTCTGATTCTCAGCATTATCAGCCCATTGGGATGAGTCTGTGGTAACTGGAGTGACTGGCGTGCCTGGGCTCTGCTCCACCTGACCCTCAGCTCCATCCTGGGACCCTGGGCTGGCACAGCTTGTCTTTCCCCGGGTGATCGCAGGGGTGCAAGGGAGCAAGAGCCATGCCCGTGCGCATGTGCAGACTGTCTGTCATGTCTGTTAACATCCCTCCGGCCAGAACACATCATGTGGCTGAGCCCCGTCTCGAGCCCCACACGCACCCCCACCCCCACCCCACCACACACATTGCAGAGTTAAATGGCAGAGAGCACAGGTTCAGGGCTAGATGAAGAATTTCTTAACACAAAGAGAAATACTGTTTTGACATTTTGTCAAACACAAGAAAAAGAAGCTCGCAAGTATCCAAGGGAAAAAAGACAAAGGCTTAGCCATTCCCTCTTCCGTTCAGGCCAAGGTGCTGCTGTATTATTTATGTCTGCAAAGGTTAACACTCAGCTTTGGTTAATGAGTAAAGCCGTCTGGAGGAGAATCCTTCGTGAGAGGGTCAGCACTACCATATAAAACTTAAGGACAGCAAAGTCGGCTTTACTGCTATTGTAGATAGGGGAACAGCCCTCTGCCGCCTCAATGGAGTAGGTAGAATCGGCTTTTAGGTAAAATAAAAAATATTCTCTCCAAATCTTGTTTACAAGAAAGGACTATTGAACTGTGAGAGAGGGTAAGAGTGTATGTGGGGAGACAGGAGTGTTTGCTGTGGGTTACATCCATATTATAACTGCATGGCCAAGAAATAATCTCCTAGATCCACAAAGTCAGATCCCCCGGGGCCAAACCGAAGGGGTAGCTCAGGGGGCAGGAAGGCAAGTCTGGGATGAGGCAGCTGTCCCCATCTGCTTCAGCCAACCCAACAGACCATCACCTGCCCTTCCTCCTCCTTTCAATGTCCAGGCAGATCCATTCTACAAATACCTCCCTCTGCTTTCGAAGCAGGACTGAAGTGCACTGCTGTGGGTTTTACAAACAATTAGTCAAGGCGTACACAGTTGTCCCCCGTGGATCTTGCACTGATATAAATCAGGGGTCTACACATGGCATACCCTCTCCTTTCACTCAGCTTTAAAAGTTTCCTGCAGAGAAATAACTGGTAAAAGATTTGCACAGACAGTGTGGAAGTGGCCCAGGTGACCATTAGCCCTGCACGTGAAGGGGCTCTGGGTCCGCCACCATGCAAGGCACAACAGTGGTGATCTGATCACTTCTTTTTTTTTTTTTAAGATTTTATTTATTTTTTTGACAGAGATCACAAGTAGACAGGCAGGCAGAGAGAGAGAGAGAGGGAAGCAGGCTCCCCGCTGAGCAGAGAGCCTGATGGGGGACTCGATCCCAGAACCCTGAGATCATGACCTGAACTGAAGGCAGCGGCTTAACCCACTGAGCCACCCAGGCGCCCGATCTGATCACTTCTGATGAGAAAGCAGTCAAATGAGAAACATGGAATCGATGAGTCTTTAAAAGACATATGTACATCCGCTATCATGAATTATCGTTAATTTGCCCTAGGTGTGTGTTGTACCTGGCCGTACACCCCACGTGAGTAGGAAGGCACCGGGAGTAGTAGTAGAATGCCGGAGAGTTAAGCATTCAGCATGCAGACACAGACTTCTACAATAGCCTTGGAAAGTATCTTAGGTTGGGTGACACCCAA